TTTCCATGATAATTCTGTATGTTGTGGTAATAAAAGATCTACTTCAAAATTTCCATATTTAAAAAAACCTCTCCTTGAGACAACACACTTCTGTTTAACAATGTCTGCTTGAATTTCCTTAGTTTTAATGTTTAAAACAATATCTCTTTCTGATATACCTGACTGCTGTCCAAACCGAGACTCGTTTTTAGGATAAGCTCTTCTTAGTCTCTTCCTAGGATAAAAGGTCTTTTTATTTTCTTTATGGTAGCAACGTGTTAATAGTTCTAGAGTGTTCTCAAAATTTCTGTTTAGAATTACATCAAGAAGCTCTGGCACTTCATAAGTAAGATGCTTTTCGAGTTCTTCAGCAAGGTGAATGGCAGACAAGGAATCTCCACCACACTTTACAAAGTTATCTTTGTAATGCACAGTATTAATACCAAGCACTGTTGTCCAATGTGTTTTTAAAAGATATTCTAGAGAATCAGAGTTGGTTATATTACATGTTATTCCTATTTGTCTTTCCTCAAGTAATTTTTCCTTGCTAACTTTGCCATGCTCATTAAAGGGAATTTCTTTGACAATTATTATTTCATCTGGCATTTTCCAATAAGAAAGAAGACTTTTCAAGTCCTTCTTTACAATCTCTTCTGAAATTACAGTTTCATTGGATGTACACACAAAAGCTATAATTTTTTTTCCTTCCTGTATTGTCATGCATTTTTCTATGTAACTAAATGTTTCACAAGCTCTTGTGATTTCATGAAGACTGATTTTCTTTCCATTCCTCTTAACAATAAAATCAAGTCTTCCTAGACAATATATACTGCCATTCTTTAGCACTCCTTTGTCACCTGTCTGCCTCAAAACCTGCTTAGAGTCATTATCTTTGACATTAATAAATTCTAAGACACATAAACTACCATCATCTACCCAGCAAACCCTTTCTGTTCCACCAACAAATATTTCACCCTGTTCTCCTTCAGCTGCCTCTTCGTAGTCTGATTTCAGTACTTTTATAATTGTGGAACTAAGTGGTTTACCAATGGGAACCATATCATCAGACACATTATCTAGAACATTTTCATTATTTTTAGTTGGGTTATTTGTTGCCAAATCATTTTTAATACAATGCACATCCTCATCAACATTCACTTCTTCAACTGTGGCCCAACATGACACCTCAGTTATTCCATAAATATTAAAAATTCTAGTCTTGCAATTTTTGCCTAACCAGTTCTTTAGAACAGAAAGCTTAGGAAATGATTCCCCTCCTAATGCTAAGACTTTTAATCCCAAGTCCTTGGAAAGAATTGTCTCCTTCACTTTTGCCTTTATACTTAACACTAGAGTTGGGGTTGCTTGTAAAATGGTAACTTTTTCCTTGATCATAATGTCAAGGAAAACATCTGGTATCTTTAAGACTTGTGGTGCAACCATAACTAGCTTTGCACCTGTTTTGAAGGCCATAAATAAATCTACAACACTTGGGTCAAATGTGAGAGGTGCAGCACAAAAGATTGCATCTTCTATTCCAATTCTGAAAATCTTCACAAAGTCGTATATATTTGGAATGATACATCTGTGAGGTACATAAACAAACTTGGGTATACCAGTGGATCCTGAAGTGGTTATGACATAAGCTAAATCTCTATTTCCATAATTTAATACATGATTCTGGAGTTCTTTTAACAAAATCAATTTGAAACTTTTATCAAATACTGCAAAGGCACTAATAACTATAAAATCCAAGTCAACATTGACAGAAACATCCTCTTCAACAAGAATAAACTTTGGTTTTACTCTGTTTACACATGTCATTAATTCAACTTTGGAACAGTCTGGATTAATATAAAAATAGGCATTATACTTTAATACTCCTAAAATACATGCTATCACTGCAGGCCCTGGATGGCAGAGTATAGCTATTACTGAAGGATGCTGTTCGTTATTAATGTCAGAACTACTGACGGTTTTCCTAGCAAAAGCATCAAAATTACTTTCATCTGATGCAACATCAGAAATATCAACCATAAACCCATGCCTTCCTGAAATAGTTCCTGCTACATTCATGCTTTCATCTTGCAACTGCTTATAGGTGACTTGATGAAAAGAAGATTCATCTGAAAATAAGAAATACCTAAATTATAAACTACCAATAAAATATGTACTACAATTTTTTTCTTTTAATTCAAATATACATATATGTATGTATGTGTATATGTATACATATATATACACACACACACACATACATATATAAATAAATATATATATATATATATATATATATATATATATATATATATATATATATATATATATATATATACCATATATATTATATAGACACACACACGCCCACACGCACACACGCACACACACATATATATACATATATATACATATATAAACACATATACATATATACTTATATATACATACCCATATATACATATATATACATATATACACACATATACATATATACACACATATACATATATACATATATATA